GAATATGTCTGCATTAGGGTTTACCTGCAGGGTCTGGATAGGGCTTGTCATTATCTGGGGCTGGTTAAGTCGATGGTTAATGTATCCTCCTTGTGTAAATAACAATAAATCGTCTTTTAACATATCTAATTCGCTTTTAAATTTACTAATGTTTTCCATTTGTACTTCTTGTTTCCTTTCTTGTTCTAGTTTTCTTCCAACAACTGCTGTAACTTCTCTTCTTGTTTCCTTTCTTGTTCCAGTTGCCACTGCTGTAGTCTCTCTTCATGTTTATTTTCTTTCTCCTCCAATAGCTGTTGTAATCTCTCTTGTTTATTTTTTGTTCCGAGCTGCCACTGCTGTTGTCTCTCTTCTTGTTTCTTTTCTTTTTCCTCCAGCCACTGCTGTAACTCTCTTCTTGTTTATTTTGCTGTTCAAGCTGCCATTGTTGCAGGTTTTCTTGCAACTGCTGTTGTCTCTCTTCTTGTTTCTTTTCTCGTTTGTCTTGTTTCTTTTCTTTTTCCTCCAACAACTGCTGTAATTTCTCTTCTCAAATCTGCTAAGCTGTAGTTTGATTTGCCGCTTCTCGTTTCCATTTTTTTTCTTATCCCACTTGTGACACCAATTTGTTACATCTCTGTTCGTTAGTTAATTTTCCGTAACTTCGTTCCGACGTAACTTTAGCGACACAAGTCCTTTCTTAATAAAACTGGTTTATTCTTTCTGAATACAACTTTACAATACACATAATTTCAACAGTCGCGCTATAACAAACGCTATATCTCACGTGGCTAACAATATTTTCTCTGACTGCAGTTCAATTACTAAATACTACACTGTTCCGTTACGTTGTGACCATCTTTTATATACCAGCCTACCCCCAATCTAGTAAATGCTAGGGCATTCACGAAGGAACAGGATATTTCTAGAAAATAGGTGGCGTGATACTAGTCACGTGACCTCGCTGACGCAACAATATATACAACAGTACTATTTACAACAAGAATTATTACGAATAGTTACCAGAAGCAAAGTTTTATAAAACAAAAATTTCACTAACTTACAAACAACATAAAATCATCTTTCTCGTTCAGAGTCTCATTGATATCCAGCGAGTTAGCTTGAAGTCGATTTACGTACAATTGGCGAGAAGCTAGCTAGCTATGTCAGACACTGAATTGTTGGACCGTTGAAGTAAGATAATATTTTCATAAAATTAGTAATGTCCAATGAGAATTCAATAATACTGTTGCGTCAGCGAGTCACATGACTAGTGTGACGCCACGTTTCTAGAACTATCCCGTACCTTGGCGAATGCTCTAGTATTTACTAGATATAGGGTAGTCTGGTATATAAAAGAGGGTGACAACGTGACGAGAGAATAATGTAGTGTGTGTGAGTAGATAGTGAGTAATTGAACTGCAGTCACAGGGTATTGTTGAAGTTAACGTTCGTTCGTTATACTGTTTGTTTTAGCGCGAATATTGACATTAAGTGCATCGTAAAGTTATATTGGGAAAGAATAAACCAGTTTTATTAAGTAAAGACTTGTGTCGTTAAAGTTTCGTTGGAACGAAGTTACGGAAAGTTAATTAACAAACGGAGACGTAACAATACTTTCGGAAAGATACTAACGTCTGATGAGAATCCACTGACGTTCGAAATTTATAACTGTTTCTGGTCAAATGTCGTAGATTTTTAGCAAAATCACGATTTATTGCGTACACGGTTATAGCAGGTTCCTAGCCACTTTTTAAAGCTCTCTTTCTTTTGGCGCGTCGCCTTGGCTGCTTTTATAGGCACGGTAAAGGTTTTTCTCGAAAATTCCGACAAAAATTCTGAGCTATAATTTAACTGGTTACGGAAGTTGATATATTGTCGATTCCTACATTCACAAATATTCTACAACTTTGGAGAATTGGCGGGAGTTTTGTAATGCTTAACTAACACTGTAAACTAGGCACGTTTGTAAATATAAACTCAATCCAAACAAACGTTGTCATTAAAATAAATATATAACAAATTCGTTACACCTGTCTCACTCTTCTTTGTCTCATTTTGATTTTCCATCACACTCTTTTGGACTTAG